CTGATATTTTGTATTATTTTCCTATATGTTCTTGTGTATCGCTGAGTTTCTTTATTGTTATTTTAAATTCCTTTTCTTGTATAGATTGAGTATAGATTGTTTATACATTGCTTAGAATGGGGTTTTGAAGGCTCTCACTTTTGTATTGAAGTTAATTATAATTCACTATTGTAGAAGTCAATTACATCTTTCTCTTTCTCTCTCTTTAGATAGAGTAATATTTATAAATTAGGGTCCTCCAGTGTTGGATGCAAATATGTTTAGAATTGTTATATCTCTTAATGGATTTACTTCTTCTTCTTCTTCCTTTTTTTTGCAGTTTTTAGCCGGGGCTGGGTTTGAACTTGCCACCTCCAGCATATGGGGCTGGCGCCCTACTCCTTTGAGCTATGGGCATCGCCCTAGATTTTACTTCTTTATCAATATACATGTATAATAAATTTTCTTTTTACTATTTTTGATTTAAGATCTACGTTATAACAGTCTAGCCACTTCTACTTGCTTTCAGTTTCTGTTTGTATGAAATATTTTAGTCCACATATGTCTTTACATATCTAGAAACTACATTTCTTATATACAACATATATTTGGATAAAGTCATACATGTCATACACATACACACATATATGTATAAACACATATATCTATGAATAGAATTTTAATCCATTTATATTCACGCTTATTGTTGATATGTGAGGGCTTATTCTTTTTTATTAAGCGATAATAATAATAATGCAAAGAAAGTAGCATTTACATTGTCAAATAAGAGTATGTCTATTATAGAATGCTTTGATTCTGAGGTTCAGTATGGAATCATCAGTTAACTTCTTCTTCTTCTTTTTTTTTTTTTTTTTGGCAACTTTGGAGGCCTTATTCTTGTAATTTTATTGCTTCATGTCTTGTTTTATATATTTCATTCCTTTATTTTATTTTTTTTTTTTTCAGTTTTTGGCCAGGGCCGGGTTTGAACCCGCCACCTCTGGTATATGGGGCTGGCGCACTACTCCTTGAGCCACAGGCACTGCCCAGTTTCAATCTTTATCTCTTAGTTTATATTGTTGTGGTTTGGCGATTTTCTATAACGATATAATGATAACATTTGAGTATATTTTCTTCCTTATTTTTATGTTTGCTGCATTTTATCTTTTCAAGTGTTTTCATGATGATATATATCATCCTTTTGCTTCCAGGTGTGGTATAGGATTTGCTTAAGGCTTTTTTGTAGGACTGATTTAGTGGTGATGAATTACTTCAGCTCTTCCTTGTCAAGGAAAGACTTTATTTCTTCCTCATTTATAGGCTCCCTTACTGAGAGTATCCTCAGCTTCCAGTTTTTTCTCTCAGGAGTTTGGGTATACAGTGTATTGTTTCATTCTCTCCTGGTCTGTAAGGTTTCTATGGAGAAAGCTGCTGTTCATCTGATGAGTTCCCTTATACACGTATGCCTAGATATGTTTCTATTGCTAATTTTAGAATTCTCTCTGTGTCTCAGACTTTTCATCAGAGGGAAGACTTTTTTGAATTATATCTACTGAGGGATTTCTGAGCTTCCTGTATGGATGTGTCTAAATTTCTTAGTAGACTTGGGATGTTTTCAGCTATTACATATATTTTATTAAATAGATTTTCTTTTTTTTTTTCATTTTTTTTATTAAATCATAGCTGTGCACATTAATACTATCATGGGGTTCAGTGTGTTGTTTGAAATTTGAAATACTTTCATCCAACTGATTAACATAGCCTTCATGTCATTTTCTTAGTTGTTGTGTTAAGACATTTATATTCTACACTTAGAAAGATTCACATGTATCCTTATAGGATAAATCATAGGCATGATCCCACCAATCACCCTCCCTCCACCCATCCTCCCCCCTTACCTACCCTCCCTCTCCCATTTCCCCATATTCTTGAGCTAAAATTGGGCTATAGCTTTCCTATGAAAGCTATAAATTAGTTTCATAATAGGGTTGAGTACATTGGATACTTTTTCTTCCATTCTTGAGATACTTTGCTAAGAAGAATGCTTTCCAGCTCCATCCACGTAAACATGAAGGTGGTAAAGTCTCCATCTTTCTTTATGGCTGCATATGGAAGAAGCCCAAGTGCCCATCGACCCACGAATGGATCAATAAATTGTGGTATATGTACACCATAGAATAAATAGATTTTCTATCTCTTTTATTTTCTCCTTATCTTATGGGAAACTAAAAATTGAAATACAGCTTTATTCTGTCCTACAAAGTCTAATATTTAAGTTCAAGAACTCATCCTAGAAAAAGTGTCACATACCTCAGGGCTGTGTATCACTGCAGTAACCCATAAAGTATTCCTCTGGGAAAGCTATGCACTGACACCAATGCCTAGTCCACGCTTCAAAGCAATTTGCAATTCTTTCTGGAATGATCATCAGAGATTTCATTGTATGGTAAACAAAAACACACAACAATGATAATAAATCCCACTCAGCAAGACACTGCCAGGCATCAGCATGAACACAGCTGTGAGACAGTGATATACCAAGGTTATGAAACCTTACTAAGTTATTTGTATAGTGCTGCCAATGTAAGCACATGGTGGTAAGTTCACAAACTTAATTGTAAGGTCTCATATATATCACATAGACTTTGTTCATGTGTCTTTGTTTTTGGTCCCTTATTTTTGTCTGGTGGGGTTATTTCAAATGACTTGTGTTTGAATTCTGAAATCTTTTATTCTACTTGATGGAGTCTATTATTAAAACTTTCCAATGAATTTTAGATTGAATTTAATGAATTTTTCAGTTTTGAATTTTTTTAATGATATACATCTCCTTGGTAAAATCATCGTTCATCTTCTGAATCGTTTTTCTGATATTTTTGTATTATTTTCATGTATATCACTGAGTTTTGAGTTTTTTTGTATTATTTTCTTGTGTATCACTGAGTTTCTTTATTATCGTTATTTTAAATTACTTTTCTGGGATTTTATAAACTTATTTTTCTTTGGAATTTGTTGCTTGAGAATTATTATGTCCTTTGGAGGTATCGTATTTCCTTGCTTTACCACGTTTCTTGTGTCTTTCTGTTGATCTACGGGCATCTGCTGTAGATTTCTGAGTTTTTAAATTTGCTTTTATAGGGAAAGATTTCTTCTTTTTTTCTTTTCTTTTCTCAGATTGAATGTCACTCTGTCACTCTGGATAGAGTGCCATGGCATCATAGCTTATAGCAGTCTCAAAATCTTGGTTTTGACCAATGTTCTTGCCTCAGCTTCCCAAGAAGCAGGGACTACAGGTATGTGCCACATTGCCCAGGAAATTTTTATATTTTAGTAGAGACAGGGTCTCACTTTTACCCAGGCTGATTTCAAACTCCTGAGCTCAAGCAATTCACCCTCCTTGGCCTCCCAGAGTGCTAGGACTATATGCATGAGCCACCTTGCCTGGCCGGGAAGGACTTTTGCTTAAGTATGTATCCATGTTCTTGGCTGGGCACAGCACTTCGATTTTGATTCTGTATGCACACCAAATTGCAGTCTCCGTATGATTACTTCAACTGTATAAAGTGTCAGGAGTCTGTAATTTCTTCAATGTCTTACTATGTGGTTGTTAAGGGAGGCTGTGCTGAACTTTTACTGAAGACAGACATGACTGAGCTTATCTATCCTTGGACCCCAGGGTGATGCATCCTGACTCAGATGTTAGTTCTTCTAGATGGGTGAATTCTTTATCCTCTAGGTGGCTAGCTCAGGTGCTGGTAGTGCCAGTGGTAATCCAGGGGGTAGGTTAGTTCTTAGTCCGTGGGCAGTGTGCATGGCATAGCAGTAACAGTGGTAAGACAACCCTCTGGCTCCCAAAAGGTCCACACGCATGTTGGCAGTGGCTCTGATAGGCTGGGTAGGCCAGACCCCAGGCCCAAATTTGACGTGTCAGTGGGTTCCAGCTGTGGAGTTAGAAGCAGGTTGGATGGATTCGAAGGCTTCTAGGTGGAGTTCTCAGGTTCCAACACTGTTTGGCTGGCCTGGGTTGTTGTTGCACCCTTGGATGACATGCTAAGGCACTGGGTTGGAGTACAACTGGGTTAGGCAGGCATGTTCAGGCCTCCTAGTCATGAGT